TACTCAGATTTTGAAATTTTGGAAAACAAACCAAAGGGGAATTTTATGAGGGGGTAGGGAGGTCAAACAATTAGCCATTTTACAGTAATGAAGAGAAGAATCAATCTGACTGTGCCCTGAAGTTGCATCAAAAAACTGAACTAATAAGAAGAACAGACAAGATAGCATGATTTAATTTAATTAACCTCCTCTAAAGTAGGTAATAATAGCCTGTGGTAAGTTTTCTTCTCATAACACATTCTATAAAAGTTGTTTTGATTATCTCCAAATTAGGTCAGATCATCATGACCACTTCTCTAAACTCGTATTCCTTGCCTCTAGTTCTCTTATAAAGTCATCCGCAAAGAACTTTCCTTTTTACATTTCGATTTCAACATCACATTTGAAGTGAATCAATGTTCACTACCACTTTCAAAATAGTTAAATTTAACACACTTCTTAAGTGTTTTTTAATTTAGAAATTCATAATAACTAACAATGGAATGTTTACTACATAGACCAAATAGGTAGCTATAGCATCTTAATAACATCTTTTGTATCCATTGGTGACACATATCCCAGGCACACCAGAAACAAAATAACCCCACCTTAATGAAGGAAAACAAAAAGAAAAAAATTTAAGTAGACACATTTCTTCATGCCTATAACAAAGGTAAAATTCTTCAATTCCATTAGCCTTGTACCTTAAATACGAATTTTACTTGTGAAAAGAAATAAACTACTTTAATATTATTTTTATTATGCCCTAAAATCTGTCATCGCAGACAAGAGCCAGATGGCTAAAGTAATACAACGTGCAACGTGACTGTCAAAAAAAAAACAAAAACATCAATGATGGCTAAATACCTTAGCTTAATTCTTTTAAAGAAACAAAGGCAAGCGTGCATGCAAATAAACCAAATCACCTTGTAAATCTATTAGCTGCCAGTTAAGATCACTGGTTTTCCCTTCTGTTTCTCCCAGTCCACAATCTCAAATTGTGAGACCCTGAAGTCATATATAAATATATATATATATGAAAATGGAGATTGGAAGGAAGGTTTCTGTCAAAGTATAACCTATCCTCAAGTAGCCAATTGTTTTGAAGTTTGCAACTTTCTCATCTCCTTTTGTTCCACTCTCAATTTCTTATCACCTTGTTATGCTGCTCAATGTGTTTTTTTATCCATATAAAGTGACAAGGTAACAGGTGCCAATGAAACAGCACTTTTGCTCTAATATTCTGGAATTTTAACTTGCTTCATCTACCTATGTCAGTATGACACCTCTGAAGGCCTTTAACGGAGGCAAGGGTGGCCTTGCTATCCTGAAAACAATGGAAAAAGATTTTTATAAAAAGTTCAAATATGAGCTGGTGTAGGTAAATCAACAGAGATAATGTTAAATGTTGGTAATTTCTTTTATAAGAGAAAAAATCAATTCGAAAATGTTAACTCATAGCTGGTGTTGTAAAGCTTGCCTTTAAGGCTAGCTCCCCAGATCAGCAGCATCTGAGCCACCTGGAAGCTGGCAGAAATACAAAAACCCAGGCCCTACCCAAATCACAGTTACATTTTAGCAAACTCCATTCAATTTGTATGACAGGAAAGTCTGAGAAGCCCTGTTCTAAAGTACAGATGATGTATCATAGAATTGTACACCTGAAGCTTATATAATCTTATTAACCAATGTCACCCCAAGTATGTTAAATTTTAAAAAATTTAATGGAAAAAAACATAAAGTAGATGGCCAAATAAATCACATTACCTAATATCTAAAATATAAGATGTGTTTTGGAGTTGTTATTTGAAATAGGAGTTCCATATAATTTTAAAGAAAACAAAATAAAACAGTCACTGGTGGTAACAAGGCAGTTGACCAATAGTATAGAAGACAGGAACATTTTTCAAAGACATGAGAAACATCAAAAGTTAAGAAAGATGTACAAGAATAAAAGCAAAATAAGCTTAAAAAAAAGGTCAATGAGATAGTAAGAGATGTAGAAGAAAACTGTCACATAAACTACAAAAGAACAGTTTCTAGAAGGACGAGAGGGAGTCAATAATATCTAACGCCACAGAAAGGTCAGTTTGACCAAGACAAACAAGGTCAATGAATTTAGCACTTAGTAACATGTAAGTTTGCAAGGTGAAAAAGGGAGATTTGAGTTTAACTTATTTGAAACTTGTTTGCTTTAAATACTGAAGTTTTCAGGAATAACAGTTTCACTTTTTAAAAGTCCACAAGAAGAGCAATGCAGTATTGATTGCTGGTACTTTGTGTTAGGAAGTACATCACTGAAGCAATTTTAGCACAGGAGTGAGAGAATCCAAATTACATTGGTTTGGAAAATAAATGGGAAGTGTGAAAGTGGAGGCAGCAAGAATAAATGATTCTTTTCAAAAGCTGTGCAAACAGAAAAAATGTAAAAGAGTAAGATACTGTAGTAAATTAAAGCCAAAGAAAAGATACCAGGAAGGATATTTACATTTCTTTTTAAGGACTAGGGGAAAGTAGGATATATGTTTTATGTTTGGGAGAGTCCGTGGAAAAAAAGAGAATAGATATAAAGAAATAAGGAGAAGGAGGATCTGATTTACGGAGCAAGTTTTTGAAAACTAGTAAAAGGGAAGGGATAGGAAAAGAACAGGAAGATATAGCCTTAGCAAAGGGCTATGACATTAGTTCCACTGAACAAAAGGAAGGTAAGATGAGTGAAGACAGAAATTTCAAGACTGCCAATACCCTACAGCTCTCTTTATTTGGTAAAGCAGGAGAGGTCATGACTAAGACAGAAGGAAAGAAAAAAGTATAGATCTAATTGAAGAATCGCCTTCATGAATTAGATTGCTATAAGTAATTATGCAAGAGGGTTTTATTTTGTGTGTGTGTTTTAACATACACCCACACAAATTGCTTATTTTTAAAAGACTTGAAGGTAAGGGGACTTTTACAGAAATATTGTTAAGATTTGCAATTTAAATGTTGAGAAGAGCCAGTCCGTGTGGCTCAGTGGATTAAGCGCTATCCCATGGACTGAGAGGTCCTGGTTCAATTCCCAGTCAGGGCACATGCCCAGGTTTTCGGCTCCATCCCCAGAAGGGGGCGTGCAGGAGGCAGCCAATTGATGTTTCTCACATCCATGTTTCTATCTCTCTCTACCTTTCCCTCTCTCTCTAAAAATCCATTTAAAAACATTTTTTTAAAAAAATTTAAATACAGAGAATATCAGGGAGTAGAAACTGGAAAAAGAACCTTTTTCAAAAAAGCCTCAACTTCATCTTTCTATCTATAACAGAAATTTTAGCACCCAGAAAGATAAGTGGAGTCTTCAAATATCAATACAGAAGAAAGGTGTTCTTTTCTCATTTTTTACACATACACAACTTTGCACTGAAATTCTACCTTGCACTTTCTATTAACACTGGCATGAATCAATAAAATCAGTATAGTGTTTTGAAGAACCTGAACTGTTTGGCATCATGCTATGATAACCTGAATCAAATAGGACTCCATGAAAAAGGTAAAATGCAGTAATCATAATAGATCCATTTATTGATTGCTTACCTTGTACCAGACACTGTTCTAAGTGCTCTTTGTATTAACTCATTCAATGTTTACAACCCTTAAGATTATATTCCAGCCCTGGCCGGTTTGGCTCAGCGGTTAGAGTGTCGGCCTGTGGTCCGGAGAGACCCGGGTTCTGTTCCTGCTAAGGGCGCGTACCTCGGTTGCAGTTTGTCCCCGGCCCTGGTCGGTCGTGCGGGTGGCAGCCACTCGATGTGTTCCTTTCACATCGATGTTTCTCTCTCTCTCTGTTCCTCTCTCTCCCTCCCACTCTACCTGAACAAAAAATGAAAAAATGTCCTCGGGTGAGGATTAAAAAAAAAAAAAAGATTATATTCCAATTTTACAGATGAGAAGTCTGCCTAAGAAACTTAAAGCAATCTGGGGTTTCGCAGCTCATATTCTAATTCCTAGGCTACAGTGCATGTAACATAAAGAGCTCTGAGACTGAAATGAGAAGATCTGGCTTCAAATTCAAGTACCATCACTTATTAGTTGGTTGACCCTAGAGACATCATGCTCCCTAACCACAATTCCTCACTAGAATAACCTGTCCTGGGTAAACTCATATGTTAGTTATAAATCAGAGACAGGTATCTTTCAAAATAAATAATATATATGATGTTATTATTATTAGAAAAGAGCTGCTACATAAAGTGCATATGGTATTAACAATATCATTTTCTGAACCCTATCAGAAATTCTCACCTGAATTTACATTGCCATGACTCATATGTAAAATGAATAACTTTTAAAATACAGGTTTCCAATTATTTTCTGCCAACTTCTTATCAATTTACTTACTAACGAAGATATAAAGCTTCTACCATAGTGCCTCTGACACATTTAGATAACAGAAGTGGTGGTGGGTGTTTTTTTTTTTTTAATTAATTTATTTATTTTTGTACAGATGTTTCTCCTTTTTTCCCCACTGATAATCCTCTCCCCCTCCTGTGGTGGTGGTTTTTGTTATCACTCGTTCTACCATCAGCAGAATCACAAAACAACCCCAACATTTAAAGATATATGTGTAGGTTTGTGTATGTGAAATAATTAAAAGGTTCTTATACAAATTCATACTGTGGCAACTTTCCCTCCATCATTCATGCTGCACTTCACCCTTCTATTATTAGCGAGAATGTGTCCAAGGACATTTTATATAAATTAAAACAGTATTTTTTTCCTCCTCACTCTCCTGGTGGTTTTCATCTTCATTTCTCTTCCAGTCAAAACATGGTCAGTCTGATTCTTAATCTGACTACTTTTACTATCTTTTGAAGCAAAGAGTTTTGAGTCCATTCTGCTGGTAAACCTAAAACTACTGACATTTATGCACCCACAACTATATTTCTAAGCATCACTTTCTGGGGATAAGTTCTATCATTTTCAGTTCAACATAATGTTAGCATACAATCCTCTAGCACATGTCTTTGTTTTTGTACAATCATACTGACCTTGAGGTGAGACTGAAGTAAACAGCAAATCCAGGAAGAAAATGTGAAAGAGAAAGTTAGAAAGAATTAATAAGGACAATATTCAAAAATAATATTATTCATAGACATAGACAAACATAAAGCACAGGATTAAAGAAGGGGAAGGAGTCATAGATTTTGCACAGGCACTAGAAATTAGTAATTTCAGATTTTCAACTCTCAACAAATGTATTTTTACATTAGTTACATCACTTTAATGTAAGTTTCTAAAGAAAAAAATCTTATCTAAAATTTACCACTTCCTGGGGCAGGGGAAAATTTTTCTTGAACACACAGAAAGAGAAGAGAAGGTTAGCGCTCCTCTTTCCATGTAAGTACCTAACTGATACAAATAATGTTTCTCATTTCAAACCTACCAAAATCTACCTCAAATGGTGCAATCTAAAAGCAATAAGGAAGACAAATATAAGGCTCTAGAAACGTCAATTCATTTCCAATACTGCTCAGCAGTAAAAGAACAAAGTAACCTTGCTTAATATTCCTACACAGCATGAAACCTCTGTGGTTCAAAATTGCTTTTTATAATAACAGGCAGTTTACCTTTTTAAAAATTAACCAGTCTCACACTGAAATTACTATTATCCTCCAAATACTTAGATTTTTAATGGCCAGTGCCATCCAGATTGTCTTAAGGATCTAAATTTTACCTTAAGAGAATTTCTTGAATGCAAGCACCGTTTCAATTTGTACTTTAATTTTTTCTAATGTTTCAGTACTTAAAATGAGCTTTTAAAAGTCATAAAAATAATGAAAAGAGATTTATTATCCCCATTATATAAGATAAAAAGCTAAAAAACCAAGAAAAAAATTAACTTCCTCACAATCACACAGGGAGTAAGTGGGACATCCAGGAGAAGAACATAGGTCTGCTGACATACGACCTGGGCATACTGCATATATTCTGTGATGCTCATAGATTCCTATCTATAACAATCCAAGACTCTCTGGCATATATAAAACTGTGTAGAATACAATGTTCAAAGTCAAAAAGAGGCCAATCTCTAAATGATTGTTTCCAATGATCTTTTTATTTTTACTGGTAATGATTCGGTAAATTAGAATAATTTTAGATCAACAATGATACAAAATGAAATCTATAGATGCAAGGCTTTATATAAGACACGGGTAAATACATTTAAAAAACTAAGCTTATTCCTGTCAACAGTGAGCAACTTTAAGAATCTTTTTACCTATTCTATAGTTCATGAGTCATATTTCACTTTAGCATCAAAGTATAGCTTTTGGGAAATAAATTTAGAAGAAAAATATACACATAAAATAACTAAGTACTATAATTCTAGTGTTTATATTTTTAAGTAAAAATTTAAGGTAATCACTAAAACTCCTATCAAGACTGTAGTAACAAATTATAAAATGCTGTGCCCACAAGAAACTTTGGGAAGATGACCTAATAGAATTGACAATGTAAAGCTGTGAAATGTATTCTTCTTTTAAATAAAATCAGTGAGATTCATCAATAAAAACCTCTTCATTTTTATTACATAAAATTTCAGATACTGGTATTCTTTAAAAGCAAATTAAAAACTAAAGAGGCCACAACCATGAGCCATGAGATCCAATCCTAGCAACTATCCTCCCTGATATCTCCAACTACCACCAGAAAAGTTCTTTCTCTTACATATACATGCACACAAATGATACCCCGAATTAAATCTCACTCCTGGTACAATAAGAAAAAGACCCCACTTCTGGTGTTCCAGTTCAGTTCAGTGTATTGATCTTGATTCCTCTCACTTACCTAAATCAGGTTAAAAGCTACTGCTTTAAGCAGTTCTGACAATTTATTCAGGGGCTAACTACCTTGAGCCTAAATCCTGAACAAACTGGGAATGCTCTTGCTTTAAAAGATGGTTAGCAAAGAAAATAATATTAACCATGACAAAACAGGAAAACTAAGTTCCCTTCATTATACTTACAAGACTGGACCAAGAATGTGTGTGTGTGTGTGTGTGTGTGTGTGTGTGTGTGTGTGTGTGTACACTCATGTATATGAATGAATAACAGGACTGATCTCTGGTTCTCTTGCCTTCTTCAGAATAGTTACAGTAGAAATACAATATCCCTGCTTTCCCTTTTCATTTAGTATTACTACCTACGCTAGAGTTTTAGGACCTGAAATTAGCAGCCTATGATCCAAAATTACCTGCTAGCCTTCCAACAAAACTATCAAGCCATTATTATTTAATATTGGTCTCAGAAATTAAAAGACCAACTTAAGAGTCTAAAGTTGAACAAGAAGCCCCTTTTCTATGATAATCCTGGGGCACACATTAATTGGGTAGTGTTAGGTATTACTCTCCAGGAGAGCTCAACCAGACCTTGAATTGAAACCTCATCACTGAAACTTCTAGCTCCTGGACAAGCTGTGGAAGAACGCCTCTGCCAGCATCATCGACAAATAACTGCTCTTTGTTGGAGCTTTAGTATTCTGGGGCCAGAAGCTATCTCTTTACTGAGGCCAGACTGATAGAGGGGCTAAGAGTCAGACATGGGGAAAAACTGGCACCTGGCAGTAAAGCAACCCACATGCTAGTCTGAAAGTACCTGTCCTCTAAGAGGGCATTCCAGCATGGGGGAGCAGGGGAGTTTCATCAAGACTCTCAAGTGAACAGCTTCTGCATCATCTTGCTGTCTATACCCTCCCCTTCCAGGAAGTGGGCTCATTAATGAAAACTGAACCAAGAGGTTAAAAGGACAAATGGTAGAAGAGGCAGACTCTGGAATTCTTAAGCACAACTCTACTACCACCTACCTATGTATTTTTATAGGACCAGCCATTTAATCTCTGGCCTCACCTCCTTATCTTTATTTTAAAAAATCTACATAAGAGTCCTTTCCAAAAACAAACAAAAAGTCATGATGCAAGATGGGGTAGGTAAAATGAACACCTATAAATATTATTAAACAAATTATACTAAAAAATAGGGGCATCTTTCTTAGAAAGTAAGATCTACCTGATACATAACAAATGAAACATATGAGGCTTACAGAGTTCCTATAGGAAACCTCCACCAAAAATATATATCAGATTTGCTTTTTAATGTTTCTACTAAAGGACAGAAAAAGAATTGTTCACTGAATCCAAATGAGGTATGAATAATGTCCACATTTCAAGGTTCAATATGGCCACTTCTGCCATAATACAAATTTATTTTCAGAAAGTCAAAATATATTCCCTTTTAAACTATTTGCCTGACTAGGGGCAAAAATCAGCTTTATAATGCCCCTTTCAAAAAGTGATGGGATGAGATCTTTTCCAGGCATTTGGGTAGGGGTCCAATGAGGAAAATAAGACTAAAAGAAGGAAAAGTCAGATGGAAACTTTTGTGGGGATATCTGAAAATAATGGAATAGCAGAATAATGTATGACTGGCTTAACTGGTACCCTCAAATAACTGCCTTATTTTAAAAGAGTCAAAATATGTATAGCAAGAGTATCACTCCTGATTGCAAGAAGTTAATTCAAACAGTGAGGAAGTTATTTTTTGATTCATAAGGTACTAGGTAGACAAAGAGCTCCCCACCTTGGTCAGGCTCCTAAACTGCTTCTGTTCTAGCACATTCAATCCGTATCTGACTTCTCAAAACTTTAAATCTTTTCAAAATGATTGCCTCTACTACTTAAAAATAAGTTTATAAATAGATGTTAATAGTTTGAATGCAAGTAACAGAAAATGCTGTTTCAAAATGTTTAAATGGTAATAACAAAAAGTCTAGTTTCAGGAACAGTCCACTGGGTTCTGGCTCCGCTTCTCTGGCTTTCCTGACTCTCACCCTCTGGTTCTCTTGCTGGCTTCATTTCAGGCTGAGAGCAGGTAGCTGCAGCTGTTCTAGTCATCACATCCAGACATGCTAATGTCCAAAACAAAGGGCCATCATTTTTCTTGCAAGTCTTCCTGATAAAAAAATCATTCCCCAGAAGCCTTTGGATTCTCCTGGATTGTGCGCTCGATGGGAAAGAGAATGCTATTACACTGACTGACTTAAATGAACCAGGATCCACTCCTGGAGCTGTGAGTGTAGTTGTGCAAGATAGAAGAGAACATGGATGCTTGATTGTTATAATCAAATTTATTCTCAGCTCTAAACCAAAAAAAAAAAGGCAGAAAACGAAGGCAAAACGAGGGGATTAAAGTGTAACGTATGAAGTAAGTTTAAAAGGCGTTTCTCAGATCTGAGGGGCTGGGTGTAGGGATGGGAGACATTTGCTGCAAAGAATCTGAGAGAACTGCTAGGGGTGAAGAAAATATGGTGCAGTGGTTGCACAGGTGTACATATTCATCAAATTTCAAACAAAAAATAGGTGCATTTTATTATATGTAAATTGTACCTTAATAAAGTAGATTTCTTTAAGGAATTCTGAGGACTTTGAAAGAAAAGAAACCCTCTTTGAAGTGTCTGCTCAAATATCACTGCATCAGAGGTCTCTCCTGATCACCCCATAAATACAGCAACAACTCAAATCCTCACACTCCCTATTCTCCTGCTCTGCTTTATATTTTCCATCATATTCATTGCCCCTTGACATTTACAACTTTAGTTTTTATTGTCCATTTCCTCCCAACTAGATTATAAACTCCATGAAGGCAAAGATTTTTTTCTGTTTTGTCCCCTGTTGTGTCCACAGAGCCCAAAACAGTCACCAACAAATAGGAGCCTCTGTAAGAAATTGACTCTTTAGGATATGGAGAGAAGAATTAAACTCACAAATTAGGGATTATTTTCAAGAGCTTGATAACTATCATATCAACAGTGGTGTTTTTAGAAATGCATATTTAAAGGGAGATGCAAAAGGAACAATTCATAAAAAGAATTTACAGGTTTTCAAAGATAAAAGGCTTACAAGAAAGTATGTCCTTTCTTCTCATTTGCTAATCCCTCTGCTAAATTTTAAAGAACCCCAATATGAAACCTATATCCATTAAAATGCCAGTTTTTATATCCCCACAAATTGGGAAACATAAGAACTCCACATTTTCTATTAATTATTTAGGTTATACAACAATAGATTCTATTATTCTTTAGACCAATGAAAATTTCTAACTTTGATTAACCAAAGGCAATCCTTGATACCTAAATTATATGAAAACCAGAAGATAATTGCCATTCTCTAAAGGTAAAAGTTTTTAAATGATAAATTGAATCTAATCTATATAACCCACATATTAGAGAAGACTGAGGGTTTCTGCTACAAATACCAAACTCTGTGGATTCATTCATTTCTCTGTACAGTCGTCCCTTGCCATTTCACACTTCGACTTTCGCGGCCTCACTCTATCGTGTTTTTTTTCAAATACTATATTTGAAAAAACCGCAACAAAGTGAAGCTGTGAAGGTCGAAGCGAGGGACGACTGTATATAAAGAAAGAATCCTACTTTGCGGAAATTCACTTTTCATGGTGGAGTCTGGAACTGATTAACCGCGATAAATGAGGGCCGACTGTATTATGAAGTAAAATACAACATATGGCATGGAAGATTAATTCTCCCAGTGGACTGCCATGGCATGAGGATTCAGGTAAAAGGAATAGCATGAGTGAAAAAGTAGACAATGAACAATTCTTTCAGAAGTCTGAAAAAAATGCTAATATCAGAATTCTATCAGAATTTTAGTACATTACTAAATATGTTAAACATTATGCCAAAGAAAAGCCTACTCATGAATCTTAAACACACACACACACAACAAAACAAAATCTCTAATATGCTCGCTTTAGAACTTTTCAATTACATTCAGGGTTCCTGAATCCAAATTGATCTAGTTGTCTAAGGACATGTCAAGTTCTAGTTTTTTATTTGTTATTGTGGGTTTTGTTTTGTATTTTCCTTAAATTGACCTATACAGACTTCCAGAACCGCTGGATGATGACTTTCTTGAAGTGTCAACTTGGCTAGGCTACAGGACCCAGTTACTTAAACACTAATCTAGGTATTGCTATGATGGTATTTTGCAAATATAATCCAAGCCTGTAATCTGATTAAGTGAAGCAGATTATCCCAAATAATCGGTGTGGGCATAACTTAGTCCTTTGGAAGGCTCTAAAAGCAGGGCTGAAGTTTTTCCAGGAAAGAAAAAATTCTGCCTGTGCCCATGTCCATGGGATTTCTATCCTGCTAGTGACCTCTTCCTGACAGCTTGCAGTACAGATTTCATACTCACTTAGCCAGTCCCCAATAATAATGCAAGACAACTACTTGTAATAAGTCTCTTTACATATGTGTGTAGATATATAAATAGACATATATGTAAAAATATACATAATATGCTAAAATTTTCTGAATGAATACACACACACATATATGATGTACATCATATGTATGTATGTTTATATGTATGTCTCTCTCCTACTGGTTCTACCTCTTTAGTTGAAATCCAAGTGATATATACCATAGTTTGAGATATGAATTTAGAAGTAGTACTTCTTAGATTTAGTTAGGAAAAATATTTTGTATTTGCAGATGTATGGGTGGACTTATATAATCCTTTTCTAAAACTGCAGTAGGTCAAGACAGTGGTACAGCACTAACTCATCTATGACAGGAACTACTATAAGAGCAATGTAAGGGACTGTTTATTTTTCTCAAGGCCACAAATAGGTCTGAGAATGTTTCATGAGGCATTCTAAACTTTTTAACATAGGATATCTTTACATAAGAAGTACTAGAAAATTTTCAAAGAATACTAAGAATTTTCTTTAGTTCAACAATTATGACAATCTGTCTTTACTTTTGCACTTAGAAGGTTGCTGAACACCCTTTAGAAATGAATTCCAAAACCATGAATTATGGTGCAGCATACAGTTGCATCAGCTAACTGGACTTAAAGGGCATTCCAGCATAAGGACAACCACATAAAAGTTGGGCTAGAAACAAACACTATGAAAATTATAACCGACAATATCAGAATCTTACCAGAAAAACATGCACTTGATCCACAAATAATATACCTAAGAAGTACAGTTCAACTTGACATATAACTGGCTGTTTTTTAACTTTGATCAAGCATAATCCCCAGCAAGCCCCAGCAGTAGTAATGGCAGCAGTAGCAATTCAGTTAGTAAGAACTGTAGCCTTACATAACACTCATTTTCCTGAGAAGTCCCAAACCAACCCCCTGAGAGTACAGGGACAGAAACCTGGTGTGGAAGGTACAAATTGTGGGGGACTGGCTTTCTGAGAAACAACATGGCCAATAGGGAACACACATATAAACATATAGATAACCAAAACCCCATTCCTTGGCCGATTTGACTCAGCAGTTAGAGCGTCTGGTTCAATTCCTGATCAAGGGCATGTACCTGGGTTACCGGTTCAATCCCTGGCCCTGGTCTGGGTCATGCAGGTGGTAACCAATTGATGTGTCCCACTCACACTGATGTTTCTCTGTCTCCCTGACTCCTGCCCTCCCTTCCAGTCTATCTAAAAATCAATGGAAAACTATCCTCAGGTGAGGATTAACAAAACAAAAAAATCTAATGGAATAGGATCATGATACGACAAATCAAAAGACAGGTGAAGAAACTCAAATTATAAATTATGGGGCCATAGATACTCATACACAAGAAATAGTGGAATGGCAACACAAGAAGCAAATAGTGAGAAGCATAGCAGCCACACACATGCACCTCAATACTAAATCTGGGAACAAAAGGCATTGTATAATCCCAACTATCCTTGACTGTTTACACCTATCTTAAACTATGTTGCTCAGTAACAAATTACAAACCAATACTCAAAACCTGAGTTTTAAAACTATTTCATTTTTTTGGTTAGTTGCAAAGAAACTTTGTGTCAAATCCTAAAATAACAACCTTGCAAGATCAGTGATTTATAAACCGTATGTTACATTCCACAGAAAAGTAGATCATTTATAACTCTTTCTCAGAATGAGAGCAATACAGTGGCTAATAAAAGCTATCTGGTGTGCTCTGGATATCAAATATAGATTTAATCCTATTTCTTACTCTCATTCAAATCATGTCCATTTCCCCAAATCATTATTGGGTCCAAAATTAATTGAAACGTTTTTCAAGCAAGCAATAATTTCAACATAGATTTCCAATACAAGAAATTAAACCAAGGATTAAAACATTATCAATAAATTTTTTTTCTAAAATAATATTTAGTGAGAATTCACTAATCTACTAAAAGTATCATATTTAAAAATCTATGCAGCATTGCTGCTGATTTCAGGCTGATACAAAAGCAAAGAGAGGCATGTATTCATGAGAGTGTGTAAAGGGTATGTGTGTGCACATGCATACGCATGCATGGTGGAGGGAAGAGATGCAGTGCAAACATGAAGAAAGACATACAAAAACACACATAATCTAATTTTGACACTCTAGTACCTGTTAATTTTAATGTAAAAAATTATCCATTTGTCTTAATAGAACCAGAAAATACAAATAAAGTTGGTATCAAGATAAAACAAGTAAATGGGTAATCAGCCCATGTTATTCAACACTTTTAGAATAATGAAAGAGAACTGTGAGGGTTGAACTTATTTTTGTTTCTTGAAAATCAAACATCTACGGATATTAGAATAAAAAATAATAATAACTTCTCCAGGAAAATATCAGGTTTACCACTAATCCAAATGTTGAAAACTTAATAAACAACTTATGAAAGTAGTCTAATACTTCCCAACCTTCATGAAAATAAAAATAAAAATATTCTTAACAATCAGGCTCCAAGGAGCTACATGGATTAGTGATTCATTCTGTCACTGCCAGTCTCTCTGACTGTTCAGAAAAATATGGATGATTAATAAAGTTCTACTGAAAGAACTGTTTCTACACACTTGTATATTTATGTTAACTATATGGTGGGTGTAAAAGAAGAGGTCAATAGGCATATGTTTAATCTTTAGTGTAATGCACTCTAAATGAGAAAAAACAAAAGATAATATATATACATATATATATATATACACACACACATATATGTATATATATGTATATGTATATATATTCATTTCAAGAGAACTGTCTGGTTGGATCTGTTCAAATACAGCACACTTTGAAGAATTCAAAGTCAGAGCTCCATAAATATCATATCCAAAGTCTCCTAAATTGTTCTCAAAATGTCTTCCTTCTTCTATATTTGGCTTATGCACTGATGTAATAGCCTACCTTTCTACAGTGCAAATTGTTAAAGTAGAAAAATGCGTATCTATACCAATAAAAAAATAGTAACTCCCTGAACTTGAGGCTCATTTGCTCCTTAGATAGATAAATAATTAAGACGCAAGGAGCTTGTTGTACTCTCGATTAGCCAGTAGAAAATTTGAATTTGTTACTCGATGAATACTTTCTAACCAATAATGATGAGGTCCATAGTTTCCCAGTTTATTTACATTATGTGTTGCCTTTTAGAAACTGCAACAATGAATTTACACTGACTGAGAAAAAAGTAAATAAAGTTAAAATCAAGCACTCATGAACCTACATTCGGAGAGGCAGATATATTGAATAGCATGCCCTCAAAAGTACATAACTATAGTTTTAAAACCATACTTTAGTTTTTCAAACATAATAAAACCCTGTTCAGCTTTCCTTTCCTTACCTTTCCAACTCAGCGATCTTCTTATCTTTGTCATTCTTCTCATTTTCCACCTCCTTCAAGATTTCTAAGAGGCGGTCAACTTCTGCCTGGGCCTTGCCAGATTCATCTTTGTACCTGGCAATCTCTCTCTCCAGTTGCTGTATTCGGTCACTCATCTCTGGACTAGCTCTGGCTTCCAATGTTGCCTCATGTGCCTACAAATAAAAGTGTTCAAATTCTATCAGATATACATACAGTGAAGTGGGAAAACCATGTCCCAAAAAACTATTTATATGTCCATTTCAATAAGATATTATCAAATATATAGTAGCTAGTCTTCAATTTATAAAGTTTTTCTCTGCCTAAATATTACATTAACAAAATCTACCTTTATACCTCAAGGAACTAGAAAAAAAACCAGTTAGTAGAAGAAAGGAAATGAAGATCAGATCAAATAAAATAAAAATTAAAAAGACAACTGAAAAGATCAATAAAACTAAGAGTTGGTTCTTTGAAAAGATAAACAAAATAGACAAACCTTTAGCTAGACTCACCAAGAAAAAAAGAGAGCATTCAAAGAAGTAGAATCAGAAACAAAAGAGGAATTACAAGTGATTACAGAAATACAAAGAATCATGTAAAATTATTTACCAACAAATTATTGACAACCAAGAGGAAATGAATAAATTCCTATAAACATACTATCTTCCCAAACTGAAAAATAAAGAAACAGGAAATCTAAACAGATGCTTAGTAGTAAGGAGATGGAATCGATAAACACAAACCTCCTGACAAACAAAAGTACAGGACCAGAAAGCTTCACTGAATTCTGCCAAACATTCAAAGACTAAGTACCCATGCTTCATAAATGCTTTAAAAAAACTAAAGAGGAGGGAATGCTTCCAATCTCATTTTACAAGGTCAGCACTACCCTGATATCACCAGGCAAGAACACTATTAAAAAAAACAGATGTCCTGAGGCAGGTTTGGCTCAGCAGTTAGAGCATCGGCCCACGACCAGAGAGTCCCGGGTTCGGTTCCCACTAAGGGCCTACACCTTGGTTGCAGTTTGTCCCCGGCCCCGGTTAGGTTCTTGTGGGTGGCAACTACATGATGTATCTCTCTCACATCGATGTTTCTCTCTCTCTTCCTCCTTCTCTGTCTGAAGATAAATGTAAAAATATCCTCAGGTGAGGATAAGAAAAAAAACAACAGACTAATAATTCTCATGAACAGACATAAAAATTCTCAAGAAAATAACAAATCGAATTCAACAATAAGTTAAGAGGATCATATACCACGATCAACTGAGATTTATTCCAGGAATACAAGGATGATTCAATATCCACATATCAATCAATGTAATATACCACATTAACAAAAAGAAAGATAAAAATCATATTATCTCATTAGAACAGAAAAAGGATTTCACAAAATTCATCCATTTATGATTTTTAAAAACTCTCAACAAAGCAGGTATAAACGAAATGTACCTAAACTAAATAAAGGCCAAATATGACAAACCCACAGCTAATATCATACTCAATGGTAAAGTGCTGAAAACATTTCCTCTCTGATTAGGAATAAGACAAGGATGTCTACTCTTACCACCGTTATTCAACATAGTATTGGAAGTCCTAGGCACAGCAATTACGCAAGAAAAACAAGTAAAAGGCATCCATATTGGAACAGAAAAAAATAGAATTGTCACTATATGTAGATGACATGATATTATATAGAGAAAATTCCAAAGACTCCACCCAAAAATTGGAATGAATTCAGTAAAATTGCAGAACACAAAATTAATATACAAAAATATGTTCTGTTACTATATACAAACATTAAACTACCAGGAAGAGAAATTGAGAAAACAATCCCATTTACAATTGCATCAGAAAATAAAATACCTAAGAATAATTTTAACCAAAAAGGTGAAAGACCTATACACTGAAAACTATAAGACGCTGATGAAAAAATATTGAAGACAAAAATAAATAGAAAGATATTCCATGCTCATATATTAGAAGAATTAATATTGTTAAAATATCCATATTACACAAAGGAATCTACAGATTCAATGCAATCCCTAACAAAAATCCAATGACATTTTTCACAGAACTAGAACAAATAACTCTAAAATTTTATGGAACCACAAAAATCCCCAAGTAGGCAAAGCCACTTTGAGAAAAAAGAACAAAACCAGAGATTATCCTGCTCCCTAATTTCAAACTATCCTACAAAGTTATAGCAATCAAAACAGTATGATATTGGTATAAAAAATACATATAGATTAATGGAACAGGATAGAGAGCCTAGAAATTAACCCATGCATATACAGTCAACTACCACACAACAAAGAATCCAAGAATATACCATGGGGAAAGGACAGTCTCTTCAATAAATGATACAAAAAAAAACTGAACTGCTACATACAAACAAATGAAACTGGACTACTATCTTACACCATACTGAATTAACTCAAAATGGATTAAAGATTTGACAAAACCATGAAACTCCTAGAAGAAAACACAGGTAGTAAGCTCCTCGACATCAATCTTAGTAATTTTTTTGGATCTGATTCCAAAAGCAAAAATAAACAAGTGGGAGTACATCAAACTAAAAAGCTTCTGCACACCAAAGGAAACCATCAACAAAATGAAAGGCAAACTACTGAATGGGATAAGATATTTACAAATCCTATATCTAATAAGGAGTTAAACTCCCCAAAATATAAAGAACATCTATAACTCAATAACAAAACAAAAAATGAGAAGATCTAAATAGGCCTTTCATAAGACATCAGATGGTCAACAGGTACATTACAAGATGTTCAATATCACTAAATCATCTGGAAAAACAAATAAAAACCACAATGAGTTATCACCTCACACCTATTAAAACAGTTATTATAAAAAAGACAAGAAATAACAAGAATTGGTGAGGATATAAAAAAAAGAACCCTTGTGCAGGGTTGGTGGGAATGTAAACTGGTGTAGCCATTATGGAATGTAGTATAACTATGCCTCAAAAAATTAAAAATAGAACCACCATATGATCTAGCAATTTCACTTCTTGGTATCCATCCAAAGGAAACAAATACAGTAATTCAAAAAGATAATATGTACCCCAATGTTCACTGCAGCATTATTCACAATAGCTAAGATATAAAAACAACCTAAGTGTCCATCAGCAGGCAAACAGATACATATATAATGGAACATTACTAGCCATGAAAAGAATGAAATCTTGCCATTTGCAACAATATGAATGGACATGGAACATTATGATAAGTGAAACAAGGCAGACAGAATAAGGCAAATAAATACTACATGATTTCATTTACATGTGGAATCTAAGAAAATAAAACAAACAAATGAAAAGCAAAACAAAACCAGATTCCTATATAAAGAAAACAAATTGATGACTGCCTGAAATGAGGGCAGTTGGGGCTGGGGGTAGGGGGGTGAAGGAAAAGACTTCCAGATATAAAATAAATACATAAATATAAACACACACAGAGAGAGAGAGAGAGAGAGAGAAGAGGAGAAGAGAATATTATTCAGCCATAAAAACATGGAGATATTCCTACCATCTGTAACAACATGGATGATCCTGGAAGACATTAGGCTAAATAAAACGAGCCAAACTCAGAGAGATGGTGTATAATCTCAATTATACTTGGGATCTAAAAAATTGAACTCATAAAAGCAGAATACAGAATGATAATTGCCAGGGGCTGGGATGGGGGAAATGGGGAGACATTTATTTTTATTTGTAATAGCTTTATTTAGATCAGAATTACAAAATAAGAACAGTTAGTATAAATTATGTAGTATCTTAGTCCATTTGGGCTACTCTAACAAAATACAACAGGCTGGGTAGCTTAAATACAGTAATTATTTATTTCTCACAGTTCTAAAGGCTGGAAGTCCAGGACCATGGTGCTAGCATGGTTCAGGTGTGGGCCTTTTATCAGTTTCAGGCTTTTCATCATGTCCTCACATGGTAGAAGGGGGTAGAGAACATTGTGGAGTCTCTTTTATAAAAGCACTAACAAACCCCATTCATGAGGGCTCCATCCTCATGACCTAAGCACCCCTCAAAGGCCCTACCTCCTAGAACCAAGGAGACAATGATTAAAGGGTACGAACTTTCAGTTATAAGATCAGTCAGTCCCAGTGATTGAATGTACAGGATACTGACTACAGTTAGTAATACTATAGTGCATACTTGAAATCTGCTAAGAGAATAGATCTTAAAAAGTGTTCTCAACAACTTAAGTGTCCATTAATAGATGAATGCATAAAGAAAATGTGGGGACTTCGGGTCAAGATGGCAGCATAGGTTAACATGGTACTCACCCTCCTACCACAACAATATCAAAATTACAACTGAACTACAGAACAACTATCATTCAGAACAACCTGAAATCAAGCTGAAGGGAAGTCCTACAACTAGGGATTTCAAGAAAAAGCCACACCAAGACTTGTAGAAGGGGAAGAGATGAAGAACAGGCTGGTCCAATACCAACGTGTGGCAAATGAATATGGAGAGGGATATCTTGGCTGTGGAGGTCCACCCTGATAAACCAGAGGTCCCATCACCACAGCAGGCCCCCAAGCCCAGGGTTCCAGTGCTAGGAAGAGAAGTTCCCATAACATCTGGTTGTGAAAACCAACAAGGATTGTCGCTGAGTGAGATGGAGGGCTTCTAGAGCCCCAGGCAGTTTCTCTTAAAAGGCTAGTGCACAGACTAATTCAGACTCACTCCCTCTGAACACCAGCACCGGGGCAGCAGCTTGAAAGGCACCAGAGACATATGGGAAGGAACTAAACTGTCTAGCATCAGGACACGAACGGGGGTCAGGTTTCTCTCAGACAGAAGTGCTGGCAGAGGCCATTTTCCCTTTGATGAGCCCTCCCCCAACAGAGGCACGCACCATATGTGAGACTCCATCAACCTGGCTTACACTGTTCGCCCCACCCTACTCCCCACTTTCAGGCCCATCCAACCAGTTTCCAGTGGCTTTTCCATACAAATGGCTCATGCTTCAGATTTTCCAAAAATCTCTCAAACAAGCAGCATCTGGCCTCAACAAGCCCCATACCTCTCACTAAGTGGTTCCAGGCTCGCCACTAGAAGCAGCCAGCCTTGGTTCACAGCTTGGCCTCCCTTTGGCACCCCCAAGTGCAGCACAAGTAGCAGACATCTGCAGATCACTTTGTAGTTCATACCGGGTGGCCCTGGGCAGGACATAGGCGGTGGCTGATTTTGACCTGCACCTCCGGAGAAGCCCAGAACTAGCACACCCAGTGGGCAGCTTCAGATAATGTTGAAGCACTACCACACAACCACCTCCATAAAAAATGGGAGAGGGGGGGACTCAGCACGTATCAGAGCCCTGCTGAAGTAAGTCTTGCTCTGTGAGTTGGGCCCCTACATCACTGATCCTCCAAGAGAGTCAGAGGCCAGTGGTCAGTGGGCACAGCCAGTCCTTGCAGTTGATCAGCCTGAATAAATCCCTCCCACTGATGTGCCAACAGCAGTCAAGTCTCAATTACAACAGAAGGGTGTACAGTCCACACTAGGGTGCACCAGCTGGGGTAATCAGGGAGGCTGTGCCACTGGACCCTACAGGACACCTACAACAACAGGCCACTGTACAAAGACTCGGAGACATAGCAACTCTACCTAATACATAGAAACAAACACAGGGAAACAGCCAAAATGAGAAGACAAAGAAACATGTCCCAAGTGAAAGAACAGAACAAAATTCCAGGAAAAGAACTAAACAAAATGGAAATAAGCAAGCTAACAGATGCAGAGTTCAAAACACTGCTTATAAGGATGCTCAAGAAACTTAGTGAGATCTTCAAGGAACTTAAGGAAAACTCCAAGGATCTTAGTGAGAACATCAACAACATGAAAAAAGACCAGTCAGAAGGGAAGGATGAACTGAAATAAAGAATAATTTACAGGGAATCAATAGTAGAATAGGTGAAGCCAAGAAGTAAACCATCAAATTGGAATATAAGGAAGCAAAAAACACCCAATCAGAACAGCAAAAAGAAAAAAAGAATCCAAAAAAATGAGGATAGTGTAAGGAGTCTCTAAGACAACCTCAAGCATACCAACATTTGCATCATGGAGATGCCAGAAGGAGAAGAGAGATAGCAAGAAATTAAAAACCTATTTGAAAAAAATAATGACAGAAAACTTCCCTAACTTGGTGAAGGAAACAGACATACAAGTCCAGGAAGCACAGAGAGTCCCAAACAAGATGAATCCAAAAAGGTACACACTAAGATACATCATCATCCAAATGCCAAACATTAAAGACAAAGAGAGAATCTTAAAAGCAGCAAGAAAAAAGCAGTTTGTTACCTACAAAAGGAGCTCCCATAAGACTGTCAGCAGATTTCTCAAAAGAAACTTTAAAGGCCAGAAAGGAGAGTTATTCAAAGTAATGAAAAGCAACAACCTACAACCAAGATTACTCTATCCTGCAAAGCTATTATTTTGAATCGATGGCCATATAAAGAGTTTCCCAAACAAGAAAAAGTTAAAGGCATTCATCACCACCAAAACCAGTATTATATGAAATGTTAAAGGGTCTTCTAGAAAGAGAAGAACAAAAATATGAACAATAAAATGGCAAAAAATACATATCTATTGACAATTGAATCTACAAACAAAATGAGGAAGCAGAACAGAAACAGACTCATAGATACAGAGAACTTTTTTGTTGCTTCCCAAATGAGAGGGGGCTGGGGGATGGGTGAAAAAGATGAAGGAATTAAGAAGTACAAATTTGTTGTTAGACTGATGAACCTCAAAGGGAAGGGGGGAGGGAGGGCGGGAAGAGATAAACCAAAGAACTTCTATGTATATATGCATAACCAATGGACATAAATAATAGTGTGGGGAAGGCAGAAGGGGGGCAGGATTGGGCAGAAGGGGGCCAATGGGGGAAATAAGAGAGGGAAATTTGTAATACATTCAACAATAAAGATAAGTTTAAAAAATAAATAAAGAAACACAAAATGTGGGAATGTCATATATAAGGAAGTTTGGGATGTTAATGAAATGCTGTTCTTGACAGTTACCACTCAATACATCTAACAGCTTTACCTTCAATATTTAGGTATTAAGTAAAAACTTATTTCCACCTTTTTAGTGAGAAAAACACACACGCAACTATCAAATCTGAATTGGTTACAACTAGAACTTATATGCATATATGCATAACCAATGGACATAGACAACAATGCTAGGGGGTGGTGATAGGGAGGAGGGTGTCTGAGGGGCAAAAGGAGAAACATCTGTAACAAAAATTAATTAATTAATAATGAAAAAAATAACCAGAATTTTTAATCTCAAAAAAAGTATTTCCCTACTTATTTAAAAGTAATGTTAAAATACTGGATTTTCGCCCTGGCCGGTTTGGCTCAGCAGTTAGAGCATTGGCCTGCGGTCTGGAGAGACCCGGGTTCGGTTCCCGCTAAGGGCATGTACCTCGCGTGCAGTTTGTGTGCGGGTGGCAACCACTCGATGTGTCCCTTTCACGTCGATGTTTCTCTCTCTCTCTCTCCCTCCCACTCTATCTGAACAAAATATAGAAAAATGTCCTCGGGTAAGGATAAATTAAAAAAATAAAATAAATTAAATTAAAAAAAAATACTGGATTTTCTTCCTTTCATTAGCTTAAGGATATGATTTTACTTTTTATTATACCCTATATGATGATTATGCGAGTACCATGTTGAATACACCCAATATATGAAAAGAGAACAACCTGAAGTCTCAGGAGTAGGCCGTACCCCCTTTTTCATTAATAATCATATGAACTGGACACAGCTAATATAACAGCTCAAAAGTCTCAGTTCCAGTTCTTACAGAGTTGACAGCTCAGAGATAATAAATAGAAAAGTGCTTTGAAAACTATAAAACTGCCATATAAACCTTAGAGAAGCATAAATCAGAGACATGAATAGTAAATATCTATATCATATCCTAATATTCACCAGTGTGAGTCACTATTGTTGTTACATCATCTCCATCTAGGAAGCCTGATGCTAATGGAAGAAAATATCAGATAATTGAAATTATTACATTGTGGCCTAATATTTCATCCATAAGGAAGCTTCATATTTTAATCTTACTCTGAATTGTCAATTTTATAAGAGTCTGGGGATTCTCAGGAGTAAAATAAAAGAGGATAAAAATTCTAAGATAATTAAATCAAGGTATAAATGGTATTTTGAACTTTAGGGGATTATCACTCCATTGGTAAGTTAATACATATGCACATTGTAGAGTTTTCTGCTGTTCTTAAGTTATTTAAAGCAAAGCAAGAAAATGGAAAATTTTTCTTAACCTTTTTCAACTGTGATTCCATTTTCAGACATTCCTCCTTCTTCTGTTCCAAAGCAATCTCTAGTGTCTTTAGTCGTGAGTCCTTTTTCAGTCCTGAGGAAGCCAGGGAAGACGCATGCTCTTTCAGATCCAAGAGTGAAGCCTAAAAAAAGCAACACACATTTAGAATAAATACTAACTATAAACAAAATGGAGATTTACATTTTTAAATTTATATTCTTGGTGGCTAGTAGTTTCTTTCCATTACCATATATTGACATATTTCTATTTCAAGAACTGAAATAAAAAACAATGCTGACTTTAGCATTCAAATCCTAACTAAAATAAGATGAAGTCCCAAGAAATATCCATTGAATAATGGTTTACTGAGTTCTATCATTATTCATATCCATTCCCACAAAATAAATGGAAGTAGATCAAGATTTGTGAATACAAGTAGTCAATCCCAGTAGCTACACTGACTTAAATATAAATACTTTCCCCTTTTCGAAGAAAAATTCTACTAGGAACTTAAATTTCCATACATTTTCTTAAAGATATTAGAAAATCCTGAGGATGTTCCTAAATCTCATGCATTATTACCTGATCACAGCATTAGCCATTTTTGCTATTTATGTCACATTAACAGGATTCCTCAAAAGCAAGATCAAAATAGATTAAGTCACCTAATTGGTCAACATTTAAGATTTCTCTGCCAATTTGCGTTGTTCTCCTTTTGCATATTCCTTTCATCCATCACCCTTTTTACAATTAGCACAATACCTCTCCAAATATAACTGGGCTTCAGTTATTTTAAGATCTTTAAAAATGACATTAACAAGTAACAAGTCAACTCACAGCACACTGAAAAAGATAAAATATAGGGCCCAGCCAGCGTGGCTCAGTGGTTGAGCATCAACCCATGCAACAAGAGGTTACCAGTTCGATTCCTGGTCAGGACACATGCCCAAGTTGTGGGCTCAGTACCCAGTGGGGGACATACAGAAGCCAGCCAATGGGTGTTCTCTCTCATCAATGTTTCTATCTTCTCCCTCTCCCTTCCTCTCTCTCTAAAATCAATAAAGGAAAAAAAACAAAGAGATAAGATATAAAAAATAAATTATCCAATCTGCTATGTCTCTGCAAAGCTTCCTTAAATACACTATAAGTTCTTCCCAAAAAGCCAACTATAAGAATATTAAGAAAATCGTCCATCAAATACTTTTTTATATGTATTATGTAAACACCAACAACATATACACACAATGCACTGATAAAGCAAACCAAATAATTCCATTTTGGTGATCTTAACCTCTTTCTCTGAGAGGTCGCCTTGCAATAGGCTGACTTTTTCTTTCAAGTCTTTCAGATCTTTTTTGTAGTTATCAATTTCCTCTTGCTTCTCTCGCTCATCCCTGTCCCGCTGTTCTTTTAAGCGTTCAATTGTCCGCTCCTATTGAGAGAGCACATCAATGCATGAGAAAATTCCTTTCAAACTTATACCATATGCCTATAATTCAACTTTTAGCTGATAAAATTTCACATTTCCATCCCCCATTCAAAAGACAGTGACGCCCTGGCTAGTTTGGCTCAGCGGTTAGAGCTTTGGCCTGCAGACCAGTGAGACCAGGATTCGGTTCCCACTAAGGGCACGTACCTCGGTTGCAGTTTGTCTCTACCCGGGTTGGGGTCGTGTGGGTGGCAACTACTCAATGTGTCTCTCTCCCATTGATGTTTCCCTCTCTCTCTTCCTGCTCTATCTGAAGATAAATGCAAATATGTCCTTGAGGATAAAAAAAAATTTTTAAAGACATTGACAAACTGTCAATAATTTACTTTTTAAACAATTCATTCTTCCTACCTATCTTGCTATAAACAAGATCTGGCTTTGTTATTTTTAGTCCCTTAGGTTTCTTTTCACATTATCTTAACTAGTATTAGATATCCCTAAAGTACGTATTCTTTTGGAATAATCCCATTTATTCAACTCCCAAATAACTAAAACATACACACACACACACATACCATAAAGACAATAAGTAACAAATCTTTGTTCTTTGTATATAATTTACATGTTGCCTACAAGGCAATGGAAACAATTCACACACCGAAAAAAGGGGAGGCTGGGGAGATTGTGATATATTGAGTTTAAAACATACAAAAGGGTAAAGAAAAAAGAAACCATTAAAGCTTTTTGTCAACAGATACTCAGAAAGTTTGAAAGTCAAGTAATTTAAGTATATTTCTAGATATTATTTATGAATATATTCAGAAATCAAGCTTTGGTTCCTGACAGGCACCCTAAAGTATTGTGAGTCTAAGAGAACTAAGAAACAGTGACCCTAGTCCTTTAAAAACATCTCATTAAAATACTCCACTAAGATTCCTTAAACGTCCTTCATTAACTGGGCAGTATAACTTTGTTATACTGGGCTACTCTTTTATTTAGTTAACCATTACTGAAAATCTGTTTTCTCATAAAAGCAAAATGAAGTAGCAAGGCCAAGACTAGTAAAACAGCAAGTATATTAATTGTATTCGTAATTAAAACCCACAAATATATTAGGAACCAATGCGACATAGTAAAGGGGAACTAATTATATATCGCTTCCGGATGGTCAGTGTCTAGTATTCCCACATCTCCAAATTCTAACTGACCATGTAAATAAAAACAACTTTTCACCCAGCCAGTGTGGCTCAGTGGTTGAGCAGCGACCTATGCACCAAGAGGTCACTGGTTTCCCGGTCAGGGCACATGCCCAGGTTGTGGGCCCAATCCCCAGTGGGGGGCATGCAGGAGGCCACCAAGTGATGTTCTCTCTCATCAATGTTTCCATCTCTCTCCCCTTCTCCCTTCCTCGTTCTCTAAAATCAATAAAGAAAAAGTTTTTTAAAATAAATAAATAAAAATAACTTCTTTTTCTTCACAAGATCCTAAATGGGGAACATTTGGCTAATTCTAGAAACTTCAGCCACTGCCCTCTAGTGTATAATCCATCTTGCCTAGGAAAAGATACTTAAATTGGTAATAATAAAACAGATATTCTTTTCCTTTATACTATGTATGTAAGCAATAATACAGGGAGCTCTTTTCCCTTTGCCCAAAGGAATTTCTTCTGTATTCTATATCCAAGTCCAATCACTAGAAAAAAATATCAGATTAATGAGAAAGCAGAAGAAATGTGTCTCTGAACAGTCTGGACAAATCACTCACTTTCTCAGCCAGGGCTTCCTCCAAAGTTGTCAAGGCAGTGTCGGTGTTAGTGGTATCAGCCTGCAAGGATTTGACTCGTTCTTTCAAGCTGCTCATCTGCTTTTCCTTATCTCTGAGTTGCTCCTGAAGATTTTCAATCTGAGTGTGTATATACATTTAAGGAGGAAACAAAAAAGAAAGTAAGTACAGTCACAACAAGAATAATTTTAAGTTGGACACAGGTAGATCAGGACTGTCTGTGAGTGTGTGCCCTGTAAAAATGATGTAATCGTAAAGGTTTCAGAACTGCAAGCAAAACTTTATACCCAGAATTTATAGCCGTAACAGAGAAAGATGCACACATGAGTTTGGACACACACGCATATACATTAATCTCTAAAGAAATAAGGAAAGTAGCTAGGGAGAAAAGACCCCAGCACATACAGATCAGGATGGAGAGGGGAATTATAGAGAGGAAAGCAGTGAGAAACTAGATTACTTCCCAAATGATAGTGTAAATGCCAAGAGGGATACCTTCACAAAGACTACAGGGAGGACCGAGAATGGACATAAACAATAAGAAAAACAAATCAGTTGTATAAAGGAAAAACTGTGTGTGCATTTTTCTATAATAATTTTTTATTTAATCTACTGGGGTGACATTGGTGAATAAAATTATATGGGTTTCAGGTATACAATTCTACAATACATCATCTGCATATTATATTGTGCTTACCAACAAAATACTGTTCTTAAATGCTAGGGTTAAGTCAGATTTTTAAATTATCTTCTATCTAAACAGCAAGCATTTTCAATGAAAACTCTTATTATAGTTTTTCCTTCCTTCACAGACATTTATATGCATTCATTTACTCATGCCAGACACTAGTGATACAAAGAAAAATGAACATCCCATTACGTAGCTGAATCCATGCTGTGGATGGGTTATGTGCCATCCTAAACAGTAAAAATTCTATTATAGACAGATGAATTAGAAATTTTAAGCAAAGAAATAATCTGGTCAGTTCTGTATTTTAGATAGATAATTCTGCTAGCTATGAAGAAGAAACTTAAGGGGACTTGCACAGAGACATGGAAAATAAATAGGAGACTGTATCAATTCGGGTAAGAGATTTTGGAGATAAAATGAGCTAAGAGAGATAGAAAAGAAGAAATGGGTTTCAGAAACATTGTGGAAATAGCATGTTATCACAAAGAAACTTCAAATACACATAGTGAAGAGTATGAAGCAAAAGTATGAAGGAATTGTAGAGAGATATTCTTAATAAACTAAAGAAAATAAAAAATAAGGCAATTAGAACTCACAAACTTTATTCATTCATGCAACACATGTTTGATCCCCTGCTATATACCAGGCATTTTTCTAGGTGTTAAAGATATAGAAATAATCACAACAGACAAAAATCCCTACCCGCAAAGAGCTTACATCCTACATAGGATACAGCATGGCCATAAGTACCACGGAGAAAAATGAGGCAGGATGATGTAATCATATTCTTCTCTTGAGCTAATACTAGAACTAGCTGCTTTATTCTACATTTCTTTCAAAAAGTAATAAAAATGTTATCTCCTTTGGGAAGACTTTCTTGCTCTTATCCCCCTAAGAATAAGATGATCACTGTATTCCATCACACTTATATATATTATATCTACACGCACACATACCCCTCCATTCTTTCATCTACCTATATATTTATCACATTTACCTCCACTCTTACATCACCTATACATCAGAACACAAATTCCTAACCATATGTAATTATTTGTTTTATACATATCTCCACAAGTAGACTAGGTCCTGCCATTCACCCCAGTTTTCTATTTTCATATCTGGCACACATTAGGTCCATAATAGATATTGGTTAATTAGTCAGTAAATGAATAATATAGAAACTTGGACTTTTATAACTGTATTTAGGCACACACATAAACTCATGCCAAGAAAGGAACTACAAAAGAACCATAGATCCAAGCTTAATATAATTTCCTGTATTAATCAATTTCATATAAGCTCTTTAAGTGCCTACTTCATTCCACAGAGGAAGAAAAAAGTTCCTGTCTAGAGTTGATGAGAATTCCACAAACAGAACAAATAAACTAAGCAAAAGATTTAATAAATTTAGAATAGGGTGCCATAAATACTATAAGGCTTGGATTTTTATTCTTTAACAAAGAAATAATAATACAGGTGAATCACTGATCAGCCTGAAATGGGCTCCAGTCTTTTCAATAAAAGTCCAAAGCCTACCAAAAAAGGAAAGACTATCACAAATGAAGAGCATTAGTTTCCTTTAGTTTAATCAGACACTACTACTAGAATCTCGTATGGATTAATATTTAGGTTGATCTCACAACTACGAAAGAGCATTTTGCCACTCAAAAATCTAGTGCAGCCCTGGCCAGTGTGGCTCAGTGGATAGCATGTCAGCCCACAAACCAAAGTGTTTGGGGTTCGATTCCCTGTCAAAAATACATACATGGGTTACAGACTCAATACCTGGCCCCAGTCGGGGCAAATGTACTAGAGGCAACCAATTGATGTTTCTCTCTCTCTCTCTTTCCCCCTCCTCCCTCCCTTTCAATCTCTCTAAAAATCAATGGAAAAAATATCCCTTGGTGAGGATTACCAACAACAACAATTTTTTTTTTTTTTTAATCTGGTGCATGCTTCATTACATACAGAATGTAATGCCCTGGTGTTTACATGTTTAATCAGCTATACAGGTCATTCTAGTTGCCTTATTTTTTACATAAGCCTTATTTTTTAAAAAAATATATGATCATGCTGTTGATTAAACTTTCTTGCCAAGAAAGTGCAATACAAAAACCATTACTTAAAATGAAATTACACAGAACCAACAAAGTTTTATATACAAGAAAACAGATACTTGTTTTATGAACTCAACTAAAATACAAATAGCTCTTACATGCATAACAACACCTTTCTTTGTCCTCTGTCATTAGCATCTAAGAAAGAAATTAAGAAATTGTATGATTTACATGTAAGTAAACTATTAAAGGAATCCATTATTCTTTTTTTATTATTTCTTTTTATTTTATTTATCCTCACCCGAGGACATTTTTACATTTTTTGTTCAGATACAGTGGGAGGGGGGAGAGAGAGAGAGAGACATCGAGTGGTTGCCACCCACACAACCCAACCAGGGCCGGGGACAAACTGCAACCTAGGTACACGCCCTTAGCGGGAACTGAACCCAGGTCTCTCTGGACCGCAGGCCGACGCTCTAACCACTGAGCAAAACCGGCCAGGGCGGAATCCATTATTCTTTACCAGCAAAAACTTTTCCCAATAATACTCAGGTTCAAAAGCTACTAAACAGGCAAAATCCCCATTATCAAGCTTTCCCCAAACTACTTTCTTCTTCAGTTACCCAGGTGCCTAAACAGACTGTTGTTGGGCAGGAGGGGAGGAAAAGAATGTCTATTCTTAGACTCCTATTTACTTGTGAAGAGGAGGAATAAACACTCCATAGAGAAAGGCACTGACAAAAGGAAGAAAGGACAGTGGACACTAAAAATACCTCCTCTGGGCAAGTTGCCATCAGCAGGATGACTTGAAATAGACATGTATGTGCAAACTAGCTGCATAAGCATGGAACAAACCCAAAAGATGCTGTGTGTGATGTGTGGGAGGAAAGGCACACAAAAATATTTTTCCTTTATCCTGCTTCATGATGGGTAACAGCTGAGCCCTACTGAAAGCTCCTGTTACATATCTTCACTTTCCTTGTTATTCAAAATTGTGCTTTTCTGATCAAGTATCTCTGGTTTATATGTGTTGCTAACCAGCTGGTAGATGAATGTTATGCCATTACTGTCTTCTTTTTCACTAATCTAATATTGAGGTTGTAAAAGCTGTTCACGCTGATAGTCCCATATCATATCATAGAATTTCAGTATTTATCATGTAATTTCAATATAATTTATAGTGGACATCTTATTCTATACTAAGTTTAATTATCCACAGGATCTGAAATATATGACTTACAAAATGTTTTGAATACAACAGCTAAAAGAAAAACTGAATCTGTTATCCACACACTTGAATAATAATGATAAAGATGACTGTTTGGAATAATGCTAAATGGAACAATACTCCTTTAAATATGCTCAGACTATCTTTAAAAAAAAAACCCACAACTCTCCATTTTGTAGGAACAGAAACCACAAAATACGTAAAATACCAACATGATAATAAAAACAAAAATAATAATAATGGTAGTGGTGGTGAGGAGGAGGTGGTGGTGATAACAGGAACCACTAACATTTTAAAAAGAAATAGTAGTTGTGCTGGCCAGTTGCTCAGTGGTTAGAGCATCAGGCCGTGGACCAATGAGTCACAGGTTCTATTCCAATCAAGGGCAGGTACCTAGGTTCATCCCTGGCCCTGGCTGGGTCATGCGGGAGGCAACCAGTTCTATCCCATTGATGTTATTCTCTGTTTCTCTCTCTCCCTCCCATTCTATCTGATGATAAATAGAAAAATATCCTTGGGTAAGGAATAAAAATAAAATAAATATTAGTATGTTATGTGGCAGGCACTGTTGTAAGAACATGTAAGCATCACCACAAAACTATGAAAAAACTACTAGCCAATCTAGCTACACAATCCTACCCTTAATCACTATGCTATAAATAATATGTCTTATGATAAAAAAAAAGGGGGGAAAGCCTGATTGACCCATGCACCAAGAGGTCGCTGGTTCAATTCCCGGTCAGGGCACATGCCCAAGTTGTGGGCCCAGTCCCCAGTGGGCGGCATGCAGGAGGCAGCCAATGGATGTTCTCTCTGATTGATGTTTCTATTTCTCTCTCCCTTTCCCTTCCTCTCTCTCTAAAAATCAATATAGAAAAAAACAATCACACAAAGGTGACTCAAGCATCTTTCCATAAACTATTCCTTGTTATTAAAGAGCATTTATTAATAAACATGGTATCTTATTACTACAGTCACTTAAAATGTTATCCCCTTCTTAAGCAGAGAATAAAGGGAGTACCAAATTACTGCAAATGCAAGAATACATCCATCTTCCAAGGGAGGAACATATATCATAACACAATTCACTAAAGCGGTCCACAGAGCCAAAGACACCTGACAGCAGGATTTCAGCATAATG